GAAACAAAAGGCATGAAGGGATGGACGAAAGCTCACAAAAAAAAAAAGCTTATCCTGACGACATTGATGCTATATAGTCGTACTTTTTGAACTTTTCCTCTGCTTTTCATTCTCTGTTTAAAGAAAATGCAGACGAAAGTTCCGTGAAACATGTTCATTGTTGATGCACGATGTCCTCAAAATTGTCGTCTCGGAGTCGCGTGGATAGGTTCCAAATCCAGGGATGTAAATCTGTGCGATACGATTTTGTAATGTAATTGTGCATACGGAAGCATGTAATAAAAAATGAGTAAACGATGAATATCGTTCCTCTCGACCAGTTTCCTGCTTTTGGATCCTTTTACATTTAAATTCGATTTTTTTTTTTTTGTTTATTTTACTTGTAAAAGGTATCTTAATCAACGAAGAAAATTATAATTTATATATATTTTGAATTTTTAAAATGAATTTTAAAATAAAATTAATTTTTTTTTTTTAGTTGATTTGAAATAATTTCGTTAATTTTATTACTTTGCAGTATCGTTGAAGAAAATTTAAAGATATTGAAGAAGTTTGTTGTCTTCTTTTTTGAAACGTTGAAGAAGAAAAACATAGTTACTCGTCTATGGAAGCATGACTATCTCCAGACAAATCCCTGACGTTTGCCTCAGTGCCGGCCAACGATCGTGGGAAGTCTCACCTGCGACCTCGTCTCCGACGAATCAATATTACACGAGAGTGTACGAATATACTACTGTTTCATGGATACAATTGAAAGACATTCTTATCAGAAACATTCAATTGATCCTTCTAATGTAATGTAAATCAATATATAATTTGATATTACACATTTAACATAAATTACATGCATTATATTGATATGCATTTGAGAATTTTTTTTTTTAATTTAATATTTAAATTTTTATAAAAGAAATTATACAAAATAAAAAAGAAATTAATTTTAGGGATGAATTGAAAGTGATACACGTGTCTTCTCTTACTATTTTTACATCATCTTCTGGGGAGAGAAAACTTCAATCTCGCATTACAGCTGAACAATGTCCAATGTAAAGTAATAGGATTTCATCGAGCTCGAGTTTTCACGCTGGATTTCATCATGGATTTTAGATTCTTATCTTTCTACATGTTCTATTCCTAAGAATACTTTCATTAAATCCTATCATTTATTTATTCGTTCACAATTAACAAACTCATTTTTCCATTTCTGAATTTAATTTCTTCATTTTAAATTAATCTTTAATTTTATCTATAAAATCTGTCTCATTATATATATTTTTATATTTATTTGTAATTGCTATAATATTAGGCAAATTATGAAGATTAAAAGGCATAAAATTCAAGAAATTCTTGGAATTTATCTTTAATCGTCCACTAATGACAATCGTATCAAGTGTTATATTGTCTACACCAATAATCGTGTGAAGCATATTTGGGGGGAGCTACAAGTATAAAAGTATTTCAATGGAGTGTTCTGGGGGGGATGATTTCGCTGGAACTTCAGAAAACACCCTGAAGCACGCAGCTGCCCAGGTTTTTGCGTGCCCCAATTTTCACCCTGTGGGGCTGGACCCTGTAGGGGAGTTGAAGAGTGGATGGATGCTCTCTTTTGCTCAGAATACCCTCCACCTCAGTAAGTGTAATGGAACCCCCAGCTTCTGTCTGTGGATGTAACATTGTTAATTCTATTCTCAGGTTTCTACATTGAAACCACTATCTATGAATTTGATATATTTCCTTTTTTTTTCTTTTTTATTTGCTTTTCCTTTGTTCTTTACTAATTTGTTTGGGTTGGGTTTTTTTTTTAGTTGAAACTTAGAAGTTAGATGGAAAAGGAGGGATGAATGAACCTGAGAAAGGTGGATTTCTACTGACAATGAAATTAGATATTTATAACAAAGTAAAAAGTTAGATATTGTTATTTAAAATTGAATAGAAAAATTATAATTTTTTATATATCTGTCCGAGGTAAGATGTTACATAATAGATTAATATGAACTCGATGCTACGGTATTACTACATGAATCGTGAATTAATACTTTATTTGTGTGTCACTCCAGCTGCGAGGATCAACACAAGTGCGACCCTCGTGACAAGCGGGTGCTCTTAATGCGCGTCTGATACGCGAAAGGGAGTGCAGCCGCGATTCTATGGTTTGCTAATTTTCACGGGATCACGGTACCGTGACGTTCAAGCCGATTAGGTTCAACCTGGGTTATTGAACTTTCACGCCTTCCCTTAACCGCTGGATTTATCTACAAAAAAGCATTGAAAAATAATTTAAGCCTCATACAATGTTTATGAATAATATAAATGTTTGATCAAATTATATAATTATTCACAATTTTTTAATTAAGATTAATTTAATGTATTATTGTTAGAAAAAAGAAATATTAGATATTATCAATATTTAATATCTTTTTCTAATCATATCACATGATACTCAATATTTGAAAGTACAAGTGTTAAAAAATTGATACACTATAAAGAGGTAAGTGATAAGGACAGGTGTAGACACAGCTGGATCAACTGTCGATAGGTCACAGATTTCGATTATCTGATGAATCAATCTTTTATTATCATCTAATCTTATTTAACTTTGACTTTTTTTTATCACATTTTAAAGTTCCTTGAAGTACTTAGTTAACATGATATTGGTAAATAAATTATTTTATCTATTATGTTTTATGATGGTTAATTATATTTATTTAATTATATTTGATTGAATATTATTGGTTTTTTAAAGAGAAAAATATTTTTTTTACAGTTATCGTTATTCCGGATTGATATATATATATACATAGTGAATTGTAACAAATATAAATATTTTATTATAAAATAAAATAGTTTAAACAATCAAAAATAAAAGAAAGAAGAAGAAACACTTTCAGTAAAGGTCGAAACCGCTTCGATATGTCCCAGGGGACATGTATATCGTCCCTAATTGTCCACAAATCGACGACCACCCTCGATTTCCGAACCGTTAAGTACAACCATCTCTCGGGGCACCAGGGGCGTTCCGCTAGCTTTCTCTTGAGGGGCGCCTGATACAACGGGGTAGAATATGGATTCAATTACACCTCATTGTGCTACGGTGTCTATAAACAATGCTATTTTCACAGCTGATAGCGGCTCACGTTCTTCTGCGGGTCCATAAAGTTAGAAGTTCACCGAATCTAATTTTAAGTGAAACAGTTTGATCCTCTTTTTGACAGTAAACAGTACATGATTTTATTTATGGAAATTCTACACTATATAACAATGGATTTAGATTTATTTATTTTATGCATATATTTATAAAACAAAAACTGTTGATAAAATTATAAAATAATTATAATTAATAATTAATGTTTTATTATTTAGAATTGGATAATGTGATTGAAATAAAAAATGAAAATTTCAATTATTTTTTGAAGAAGTAATTCAAATTGAACTTAAAAATGTAATGAGAAGAAAAGGAGAAGAATATGAATTTTACATTAATAGAGAACAAAAAAAAGGATAAAAAAGAAAAGTCTAAAATAAACCATAAAAAATTTCTATATTTTTATTCTTACTATTTCATAATTATCTTTGAGGTAAAGTATCAAGTATCATGTTACTTATATCATCATGAAATACATAAGATACTTAAATAGACTTTTAACTAAAAAATCGAAGTTGAAGGCAATGAGAAGCTTTTAAGAACAACTATACTCAATTATTATGACAATCATATTGTAATTTTCAAATATCGAACGAGATATTTTCTCATTAACGTAATATTAACTTGGTGAACCTCAGTTAGAAAGTAGAAAATGGTTATTCAGACTGCAGAATAACGAAGAGGGAAAGGAGGATCACAACGTGGGAAGATCCGCAGCCGTCGGCGCCATTATTCCCGAGTTGCAGGACGTCGCGACACCGCAATATCGACGTACCGCCCACGATTCTCCTTCTCTGTCTCATCCACGTCGAATTTGCTCCTCTTTCTGGTGTGGTGTACACCACAGAATTTGGCGCAGCTTCTACCCTCTGCTTTTTATCAAACCCTCCGCCATTACATTACAAGGAATTCTGGTTTTAGAACTTTCTTTGGATTCTTAGAAAGTTGGAAAATATTCTGTTTCTGTTATTATATTTTGGAGAAAATCTTTTGTAAAATGAATCACAACAAAATGATGAATCAAATAGAGAAGAAAAATAAAAAAAAATTGGATATATAAAATAAATCTGAATATTTAGAAAATTTAAATTAAAAAAACATGAAAAATTAACTTTAAAAAATTGTTTTAAATTTAATTTATCATAAAAAAAAAAAGAAGTTTTTTGATTAACTTTTAATGAACTAGATTGATAAAACATTATTTTAGAAGAAATGTATCTATGAGAAAGTATACCATTAAAATTAAAAATGCTTTGATAATAGCATATAATTAAAAAATGGAATGGATGAATATGGGAATTATAATAAAGATTGAAAATTGAAAGATAATAGAACAAACAATTTGAAACTTCAAGAATCTACTTTATTTGGCTTCAATGACAACCACATTTTAATAGCAAACAATCTGTTTCATGTTCACATGTCACGTACAAACGATATCTGTTTAAATTTTTTTACGCACTTTATATATACATTTATTATAACATGAATTCTGTCAGAAAAATTAAAAGTCAAATTGACTTACAATTTAAAAGAAAAAGAAGAAAAATATCCGACAGAATCTTCGTATTTTGTTTTCTTTCCATATGTTAATTCATTGGATTTTGAGCATTTTTAAAGAGGAACTTAACAGAAGATACATATATCATTTATATTACAATTTCATATTTTACAAGAATTTTTCTTATTTAAATTTGACTTCTTAGATGTTAATTTAAAAAATTAAAGTATTTGTTCATAAGGTTATTAAATATTAACAATAATAATTTAATTGATATTGTCCATCACATTAAAATCGACTAGAGACACAAAAAATTAATTGATGTAATCTTCTTATATATTAACAAATTGTTTCTGGTGTTCTATTGATTGTTAATAATGATTTAGCATCAAAAAAAAGTAAAATAATGACTAGGAATGTTTGTCCTTAAATACTAAATAACACAAGGCTCGACGTGACTTAACTAAGAGATGAAAATTTTATTCGAATGTCGAGCCATTTTTTGATGTTCTTGGATCCTCCGGAGTCCATACTTTTGCATACATCGTCCCATTCTGGGAGATATCCGACTTCCTGGACCATGACAAGGAATGAAAAATGAAAGGATTTCCTTCACTGCCTGAAATTTTACCATTTATCTTAATTAATATATTATCCAACTTAATTTTTTATTTAAATTATTATTTCTTGTTTCTAAGATTATTAATGAATTTTAATTAATTAATTGATAGAATTCACTTGAAACAAATCACGAAACAAGTTAATTTAATTCAATGAATAATAATTAATTTTTAGGAAAGGAATGAATAATATGGATAAGAAAGGATACGTGAGTACGATTAGTATTGGCCTCACCACGAACTATGACTTTCTTAGAATCATCTCGTCCAGAACATCTTGAGAGACCACCATTTCCCGTCAGAGGATCGTTACCCTTATCAGCTCTAACCAATTCGTTAAGAAACTTAATGTAACCAATTGCTAATTTTAATGTATCTACTTTAGAGAGTCTCTTTTCATAAGGAAGAGTAGGTATGTGGGCCCTAAGACCCTCAAAGGCGTCATTTATATTCTGCATACGTCTCCTCTCTCTCATATTGGCGGCCTGTCTTTGTTGTACTGCTTGTCTCGGACTTTTCCCCGACGCCCCATTTCTTCTATTGTTTTGACTTCGTCTAGAAATTATTATTGTTCTGTTTTTTAATAGAATAATGATCTCTAGACTTTTATTATTCGAATGTTTTCAAGATAGATTCTTAGAAATTGCGTATAAAAGATGATATGATATGACAGAAAACGAAGAAAAAAGAATTATTTCTTGTACATTTCTTAAATAATAATGAAAAATGTATTCGATGCACCTGTCTACGAGCAACCCGTATAGCAATGCTCGACGGATTGCTCATTGATAGGCGCAATGACATTGCTCGTTCTTATATCTTTGAAGCTTCATCATTGAAAAATAAAACAAACTCATAGATATACTTATTAGACGAGAAAAATATTTCTTTTTAAAATATTTTAGAATATGTTTAATCTAATTTTTTAGATGAAATTTTTATTCTATCTCTTGATTTAATATATATAATCAAATTAATTCTATCATTTTTCAATATATATTTTGGATCCTATAATAAAATATATAATTTCTATTTCTAGGTTTCTGATCACATGATAGTTAAAAGAATAAAAGATACTCACTCTCTGGTGTGATTCTCCTGATCACTACTGTAAGCACTTTCATTATCGCTACTATTTTCGTCATACAAATAAATTTCACTACCGCTGGTACTTCCAGTACTTCCAGCAGGATGTGCAGCTAATTGCGAGGGAATAGAAGGTAGCGTAGCTGTGGTAGGTGCTCCGCAATGCGGCGGCAAAGCTGGAATCGCTGGATTCCCAAGAAAGCCATGAGCCTCGTACATGTACTGTCGATTCATCATATCTAATTCGAGATTGTCCATGGAATACATCTTGAAGAAGCTTTTTTTTATATCATAAAATTCTCTGGTACACGTATCTTTAATATTTATAAATTCTTTGGTAATAATGACTAGAATTGTTGATCAATTGGGTATAAATTAAGACACTCTCACATCATCTTTAAAAGATTGTTGATTAATTAAATTTATTTTTCAGATGTAAAAGATGAACACATTAAAAGACATCGACTTCCAAGAAAAACAGCCTAGAAGACTTGATCCCCCAATAATTTTTGCATAAGAATCTTTCAAAAAGTAAAAACTTCTCTTGGTATCTATTAATGATATATATTTTGGTATATATTAATGAAACACTTTCCTTCTTGAGATCACTGGAAATACAATATTTTTTGTGCAACACTGTATCCCTCTCTATACACTGAGAAACCAATTTTTTTAATTCAATACAAAAGATACTTAATATCCATTGAATTATATTAGGATTAGACAGATTTTCGTTGGAATTTCCTAAAAATTCTTATACAAATATTCTCGATCACGTTCTGAGGATTCACTGATATCATCAGTATGACACGTGACCTCGGCGCGTGTTAGGAAATACTTCTAAATAGCGACACGTGCCAGTAGGAGGTCAGGACACGTGCCCAAATTTGTTCAAACACTTATCAAAATGTACTCAATCCTTTCTTGTTAATCATAGAAACTGGGATTCCTTCATTGAACATATGACGAATCATCTTGGATCCATAAAAATTATCAATTGTCTTCTTCATCCTCGATTTTCTTCCTGAAGAATATTCTCTTCACCTCAAGTTATTATTAATATTTTTCTATTTTGACATTCGACACTCGTCATTCGCACTGAATTAAATTTACAACAATTATTTGGTAATTTTATAAATGATTTTTGTATGAAAAAAAAAATAATCACTGATATTATATTATTAATTATATCGTTGTTAATTTTAGGTGGAAAAGAAAAATATTGGGAAAATATTGGACTGTGAAGAAAGGTGAAATACAACTGTGGATCACTGATGAACATTGGTTCAGGTGGTTTGATGAAACTGAAAGGGAAAAGCGGGAGGAAGGCGGAAGCCAGGGGGTTGAATGTCCAATCGCATCCCTATTCGTCGAGGCAATTGGTGGTGGAGCCAGCCTACCTTCGGTTGCCTGGCTGCTGGTTCCGCCTCTTCATCGATCTGATAAGGAACAGGGAGGTTCTTGATTGGGGATAACTTGATGGAAAAGTCGTTGGGCGAATTGGATAGATTTGCGAATCGAATTTGCACTTTGATGTTGATTTCTTAGATAGTTATTATTAAATAAAAATATCATGGGAGGAATATTTTGAATTTGATGAGAAATAAGAAAATTATATGAATATTGGCAAAAAAAATTGTTTAAATAAGAAAGAAAAAAAATGAAAAAAAAAAGGAATATTTGAAGATATTTGAAAAAATATAAAAAAAAAAATAAAAAAAAAATAAGTCTATAGAAAACTTATGATCAAAATATATTCAAAATATATTCAAAGATAAGACAAGTGAAGAAATTAATTATATCTTTTATTATTATTAGAGATATTTAATTAAATTTGGAATTAAAATTCAAAAGACACTATCTACAAAGGAGTAAAAAATGAAAATTATGTACCCAAGTTTTTATATTTAAAATTACAAATAAGGTTGAAAATTTTTTTTCACTTTTTCAGAAAGACATATTGTTGGGATATTATATAATTATATTTTGCGGTACGATAATAATATAGCAGAAATCACATCAAACCTGTTACGGTACGCATAATTATACGTTGCCCCCCAGTCAGGCCAAATGTCGCAAAAGTGGTTAACCCTCGAATAAACCCTTGCACGATGTTTCTGGTACATGTGCATGACACGTGCCTCCAATTTCTTCCTCCATTACACTTTTGATTCCCTTGAATGCTCTTTTTATGGACAACCATGAAACTAGTCTCAAATACTCTTTCACTTCCGGTGATTGTGGAAGGATCGTTATAGAAGGATATATATTATATGGAATATCAGAAAAGTATTAAAAATATTTTTTATTTTCATCCAAAAGACTATAGAATTCAATAAAATATAGCAGAAATTTTGTTTATATATGTTTTAAAGTAAAGAAAAATATGTTATAAGTATAACATAAAATGGAGAAAAACATTGATAACTAAAATGAACAAAAATACGAAAAAATTTTCTTTGAAATGCCAGTAGGATATAAAGTATGGTCTATTATCGATTTCCCAAACACAAAACTTTCTCTAAACATTCGTCCAGACTAAGCAATTAACACGCTACAAATTAAGAGGGTTCGTTGTTGCATCAGGATGAATTATTTGTTCCATCTGTTGTTCCAGAGAAAATCAAGTAAACGATTTTTTTTTCCCACGATTATAATTTTCTGGTTTAATTTAGAGAACGATTTTTAAAAATATATACGTATATAAACAATTTTAATAATTGATTAATCAAGTATTTAAAATTGTTTGCAATATTATTTGCAAATCTTGCAAATAATAAATTCCAGCAATTTTATTTTACAATTGTGTTATTAAAATATGTGTAAATGTGAATAAATTTTGTTAAAATTTAAAACTATGATATAAATTTTGCAATAATAAATTTTTTTGATCATTTTTTTTTTAAATACAGGTGCAAAAATCGAATTTACGGATTGCAAGCCATAACCATTGTTCGAATCAAATCCCAAAGAAAAACATAGATCGAGATAGGTCCATTGTGCAACGGGATCCTCGAGATTGAGAGATAACTGAAAGGGATTAGATTTAAATGGCAAATCCTCTGGACACGTGTGCATTCGATTCGAATGAAAAGTTAAATACTACAATAAAAAAATTTTACTAAATTTAATTTTACTAAAAAAAAATAATATTCATCTTTTATATCTATTAGAAGGAATAATTAATTGTTATATAATCTTGCAAATTTTTTTATTATTTTTTTATTATATAATATATAATTTTATATAATTATATAATATATAATTTTTTATTATATATTACATATTATGTATACTTATTTTGTATTATAATTTTTAATGGTGTTTTTCCTTTCAAAATTGTAAAAAAATTTCTATATATTTAAAAAACAAATTGATTTTTTATAATAGCACATCATTTTTCA